AAGTGACGTGCACTTGATAGAAGTTGCGTGGATAAGCTGTTGCCAGCATGCTTTGCTGATATCCAGCGATGTATGTTGGAAGCAGCTTATCCACATAGCTTCTATCAAGTGCACGTCACTTCCGGTGACACGCCTACCCCAACTCTCGGATATCGAGTATACTTGCATGAGTTTCCGAAAATCTCTACTGTATTCTTTCTGAATTGAAACAAATGTCCAGAAGTGGCGTGGAATAATTGAAAACGGTAATGGAAAAGATCTGATTAAATGATTCAGTTTCATTAAATGTCAACCACAAATACATTAATATGCAGAAATTTGATGCTATTGTACCTCTATGAATAAAATGAGCGAGCTGAATTATAGAGTTTACTGGTGACTTGTTTGTTTCGAATAAAGCTTCGTTTTTATAAAGAGCCTGGAGGAAGAATTTGAAAAAAATTCCCATACACCTGTGTTCCAACAACAATGTTGCAGAAGTTGATCCATCTTAGGAAAAAACGAAGAAGAAAAAGCAAAGAAAACGTAGAAGAAAAAAACAAAAGCCATCATGACCAGGCGATTGAAATGCACCTTCTCGATCCTGAGTGAAAGTTCGAAGTAACATCGTATCCGCGCTACAAAATCGGCGACCACACTCAAAGCCAAATCCCTTAGGGCTAGATCGTGTGGGTTTTGGAGCGACTGCCGGATTTCGTCAGTTGCACCTTAATGATATGTTATGTTAATGTCAACAGCTTTCGAAAGCTTACTGATACCAACTTCTACGCAGAGAAAAACACCTATGAGCTTCTGTTTTGAGAAGCTATGCGTTAAACAGGATAAATTCTCATAGCACTTGGAGTATGCAAATAAGATAATCACCTTTCCCATAGCACTTGACATCAGCAAGCACTTCCGTGCACTGGTTTATTATCTTTTCGCACAGATCAAACAGGTAGCGCTCTTCTTCACGAGGAGAAGCGTTCTCGAAATCCAAAAACAACTGCAAAGCAAACACCATTAAAACGCAGATAAGCTGAGTGCCAAATCGCCGTTCTTACCTCGATGTACTCAATACTGCCTTGAGAGCCATCGCAGTGGGATCGTAAAATAGAACGCACCACTTCTCCACATGATCCTCCAGTCATTTTAATTCAAAAATTTATAAACGACGTTGTAATGGTTCATAAGAATTGCCTAAAAAAGAAGTAAGAAGAAATGAGTCATCGAAAAGAAATGTTATGTAAAGAGAGACAAATTGATAAACATCTTCGGTTGGGGAATACGCCGCGCCGCAAAAGTGGGGTGGGGCGGGGGAGGGCATCGCTGTGCAATAGTTCGTTCCCAGCAACAGTTATCCCATTTCCGGTAGGGAGAAAGCTAACGATGAATGAGAACTGCTCGTAAACGAAAGGAGCTAAGTATAAAAAAGGAAACGTTTGGCATTGTTCCTTCATTCCTTAAATGGCCTACAATGCCCCCTCCCAACTACACTTGAGCTCATGCCGTAGGAAAATGCACAAAAGGAATGCATACGTCATGAAAGGTAGAAAAACAAAGGGATTTACGAGCAAATCGCACGCGACATGCGGTGACGCCACCCGACAACTGACATCATCAGTCTCAGCTGTCTCGCACCTCTTTCCCAATTTTTTAATTTTTTCTTCCCTAGTGGACAAGGGCCGTATGCTGAATGTTGGGTAGGGGACGGGGATGGGTGAACGTTGGGGAGGTTCGTCGCAGGACCCTTCTGGGCAGCTGTCGCACCTTCAATATTGCAGCTCTGTTTGTATTCTTTCATCGCTGCTTTTGGTATGAAGAAAGATATTTACGTGCGAATATACAATCAGAAACAGTAAAAGGGTGAAAACAAAGCTGCAAAATCAAAGGTGCGACAGCTGCCCAGAAGGGTCCTGCGACGAACCTCCCCAACGTTCACCCATCCCCGTCCCCTACCCAACATTCAGCATACGGCCCATGTTTCGCTAGCAATGCCGTGGGGTCTGATCTTGAGGACAGAGACGTAAGAGGCACATTATTTGCAAGTTGGTCCCGACGAGGTCTCAGGCTGTTTTGGAAGTTTTTACGGAGAACTATGCTGGCCGACCAGTGAGGAAGGTCTCCTGCCGACCGGTACAGCGATTTCTCAAGGTTACCTACGAAACTACGAATGCTTCACCTCATGTTGCCGGCTTCTTCAAGACGCTTCTACTCTATCTTGGTTCGATCAAATCCACCCTCGTAGATATCTTTTTACCACAAGGTACGTTTTCATATTTTTCCGTTGAACAGATTTGTACGAAAAGGGGTTTTTTGCAAATATGTGTTTGTAAGGGGTCGGAAGGTATCCTGGCACGTAACTACCGTTGCAATGTGACACGAGGACGCTGGTGTGTGATGATTCAAGCGGGTTTATCCGAATAAGGGGAGGGGGACACGGGTAGTAACTCATTTGGGTGTGGTTCACTAGGACAGAAAGCGACTTTTTCGCGTTTCGCAGCGCGAAACATTTTTCGCTGCGGGAACCTCAGGTCCACCGCTGATCATAGTGGACCTGAGGTTCCCGCAGCGAAAAATGTTTCGCGCTGCGAAACGCGAAAAAGTCGCTTTCTGTCCTAGTGAACCACACCCACTCATTTGGGGACGTGCGACGGAGCGGCGCTCTGTTCGTCTGTACCTCTAAGCTTAGTATGCGGTACCAGGTCGACGCACTACTTGAACTCGGCTTTCAACCGCCTCATTTGGTGCTCCCGCCTGCGCTCTCTCACCTAAACAGCGGCTCATGACTACTGTGATCTCACACATTCAAACTTTTGCCACACTGTAATTGGCTCACCCACCCTCCTCAAAGGCTGTTTTGGGACTCTCATTTCCTCTTGGGGGCAGGGCGGGAGGCAGGACCATGGGTGCGTAGCGTTTCTCCTCCTGGGTCAGGTCACCTAAAATTGAGACGCCGTTCATTCGCTCGGAGCAAGCTTAGGACTAAGCCTAGGCCCAATCATAGGCTTAGGCATAAGCCAATGTGTAAGCATAAGCCTTAACCTAAGTCTAAACCCAAACTTAACCTTAAGCTTCAATGATCGCGCAACTGTGGTGACCTGACCCCAGGAGGAGAAACGCACGTCTCCCAGGACCATAGAAGATAGTTTAATTAACCCGTAAACCACGGTACCACCGTATTTCGAGACCCAGTGCGGCGATAAAGTAACAGACCGGAAGACTAAGCCTCAAAGGTGCAGGTCATAGAGCGCCGCGTGCGCGGCTGCACGGTCCCCCGAGAAAAAAGCTTTCTGTCTCCATTGACCGACCCCTGCCATCCGAGTTTTTACATGAAATGCCAGACCGTTTTCCATAGTTTTTTTTTTTGCTCCTGTAGTGGTCAGCGTTATTCCTTTTTCGCAAAATTGTGCTAAAAATCTCTTATTCGGTGCAAGTTTCGACCGAACTGTGTTGTAAGCCATGTCTGCCTGCACTACAAGCCAGTGATACCGACAACCAGTTTGCTCATTTGGGGATTGAAAAAGTGAAGCTTCTATCAATTAAGGGGAAGCCCGAAACGGAGCGGATTTGTTTCAAGCCGTTGGGAGTCGGTTGAGTAGGCCGACCAGCTGTTAACGTCACTTATGCACTGCTTTGCCTCTTTACTAAGGTACCAGAGTCGGACGGGCAGGATCCATGGGGTTGCTAAATGGTGTTCGGGCAGAGGGACGAGAGGGCTTAATTACGATCACGCTCTGTGCCCGCGAAATTGCAACGTTTCGCTTTCATTAAGTGGCCCAATTTCCGCTTTATAAGGACGCACTACATAAAATATTAACGCTTTCTTCAATGTTTCAGTTGTCGTGGCAGCTGCCGTTGAGTAAGCATAATTCCGTTGTAGGTCATTAGTTGTAAAAGAGTAACCTAGTTCGAGTACGATTGTTTGGGATTGCTTTGGAAAGTGATTGGAGTGAGCTATCCCTCCCCACTGGGGTTTGATTTGTGGTGTTTGTGAAAGAATCCGAATGGTGAGTCGTGTTCTGGCTAATGATAGTGCACGTGAGGGAAAATGCCTAAATTCTGCTGCGCCATCGGATCTACATAACCCCCCCGCCCCTCCCACATGACGCTCTTTTGAGGTTTTGGGGAAGGTGTCACGTAGTACAAGGTTCAACGACACTGTTACACTATCGACCATCGAAAGGTGGAAGATGTGGGTAGGGAGTGTGATCATGGAGCAAAGGAGAGAGGAAGTATTGACCTAAATTTCTTTGACACTCGCTCTGATCCTGACATCTCTGCAAAACTAGTATGAATACATTTAGGATATCCCTATTCGGTAAGTGAGGATTATCTCCAGTACCAGATATGGGACACATTGCAAGCCTTTGCAAGTTCAATGACTGGAGCCTTGGCCACTGAAGCTGTATTGAAAGGAGCAGGAGTAGGCGATCAGGTAACCTTACAGTCAAGATAGTAAACAGTGTGACAAAGCTAGTTAAGTTAGAATCAAAAGAGTACTTTCTGGCACAACGAGGCTGAGCTATGGGCAAAGCGCTTTGCATCAGCTGGACACCGGACTTGGTGCTTAAGAGTGAAATATACGGAGTGCACGGGCATAGAAGGAAAGAAATGATATGGAAGGAGGAAACAGGAAATATAGATCGATAGAACTTCCCAGAGAGTCCCAAGCAGTTATGATTTGCTTGGGATTCTCTAGGGAGTTCTATTTCCTGTTTAGTCCTTCCATACAATCAAACGACTATTTTTCCCTCCTATAGATTTTATAGATTTGTAGAGATGTTTTGCAAAGTCAATTTAGCAAAGTCTAGGCTGCGTCCGCTCTTGCGGCTTCTCTTACATGGTTAGCAAAGGATGGGCTCGGAATGGTTGGACGAATCGCATTTGGTTTTTTCAAAGGTAGGCACTACTTTGATTTCGTGACTTATTGCTCTTTTCTACGGTCTCCCTTTCAGGATCAGAACTTGATTCCGACTGCAAAAAGTGGCGGCTTGTCGCTGATATCATGAACGACTTGGCGTTCTTTATCGACCTACTTTCGCCTGCTTTTCCGGGTTCGTTTTTCGTTTGCGCCTGTTCGTCGTCTTTACTGCGATGTGTCGTTGGTGTAGCTGGAGGAGCTACAAGAACTGCCATCATTCAGCATCAGGTATTGTTTAATATCAGGTCATCGTCTTTGGCCGGCCGTATGAGCTGAATGTAATTCAGGCTCGTCGCAATAACCTCGCAGATGTGGCTTCGAAGGATGGCAGCCAAGAGACGATGGTGAATGTGACTGCACTTCTGGCTTCGTTTATTTTACTGCCTCTGGTCAGCGGAAAACACACAGTCATTTGGACACTATTTCTGGTACGATTCCTTAACAGTCCATATTACACTTTTACACCATGCTTTTTATTAAGTCAACATTTTAGTTGACTAAATTCTCATTTTCCAATTCAAGAAAAGAATTTTATTCTCAGTGTCTGCGTGCTTCCCTCCTCGGTAAAACAAATTGTGAAGATTGCGTTTGATATTCAGTCTATGTGGGTATAGAGCAGGTGGTACGATAAATCGTATATTGAAGAAAGAAAATCTGCCTGCTGAAAAAAGGCTAGAACTGTTAGGAATCTAGCTCTCGCGGCAAAAGGGTACTCATTAGCGGGGGTGTGGTTTACTAGGACAAAAAGACATTTTTTCGGCGTCCTTCGGCGAAACTTGTTCGCTGTGGGAATCTCCGGGTCTACTGGGGCCGTATGCTGAATGTTGGGTAGGGGACGGGGATGGGTGAACGTTGGGGAGGTTCGTCGCAGGACCCTTCTGGGCAGCTGTCGCACCTTTGATTTTGCAGCTTTGTTTTCACCCTTTTACTGTTTCTGATTGTATATTCGCACGTAAATATCTTTCTTCATACCAAAAGCAGCGATGAAAGAATACAAACAGAGCTGCAATATTGAAGGTGCGACAGCTGCCCAGAAGGGTCCTGCGACGAACCTCCCCAACGTTCACCCATCCCCGTCCCCTACCCAACATTCAGCATACGGCCCCTGTGATCAGAGTGGACCCGAGGTTCACGCAGCGTAAATATTTCCGCGCTGCGAAACGCGAAAAAGTCGCTTTCTGTCCTAATGAACCACACCCCATTAGCGGCCCAACTTATCCGTGGTGAGTTATCTTCGTGGAAAACTCGGTGCCAACTTAGTTGGGGGACCACGCGGCGGCGCGGCGCTTTGCTCGCCTGGCGCTCTCTCGAGCGAGATAGTGTGAACTCGAACATTCCAGCTTTTCACGCATGTCAAGTGACTGCCCTCACCCCCCCCCCCCTAGACTGCCTACAGTCCCCCTGGCTCACGGATTTCCCGAAGTACGCAAAGATGCCAGGCGAGCAAAGCGCCGCGCCGCCGCGTGGTCCCCCCAACTAAGTGAGCACCGAGAGCTCTGCCTCCAGGTAGCGGACCCACCTTAGATTGCTTGGTGGTTAGGGGTTGCCCTCTGCGGTGAGTGTAGGAAAGAGAGCAACTTCAATGACGTCATTTTCGGTAAAGGAAGGAGTCCTATGTCGCGGGTTTCCCTGGGTTTTTCCTTCATCCAGCGGCAATTCGATTGAGAAGTAAATACGGGTCCATCATGCCATCGATACCTCCAAATTCAACTGCAAGATGGTCGCAAAGGATGGCTGCACCATGTATACCATGTGCCTTTAAAGCGATTTCGAGAAGTTGCGACGTCAAATTGGTGCCAGAAATCACATGCGAAAGCACTAAAACCGCCTCATTCATGTATGGTCGGAGTTGGGTAACCGTATAGGTCAGATTATGAATGTGTGAAATTTTAGGCCGAAATTGTGTGCGCCTAAATCGAAATACACTTTTCAAGCTCACTAATTCTGGCCCTCAGTGGAACTTTAACCCTCATACAATTCATTTATTTGTCGTTTCTTTGAGGTGTTTACTATCATACACTTGTATGCGATCTATCAAGCTGTACGTTCGCCGAGGTTGGAAACCCTGAATCTCGAGCGGGCCACTATACTTGTTGGGTTCGCAAAGCAATCCAATTCTATTCTCCGCCCAATACTTTTGAAGTTATACCAACTCATTTGTAGGTGCTGGCTGGAGTCCGGCAAAATCATGGACGTGAATGAGTGCAATAACATTGAACCGCTGTTTTCATCATTCGGGACAAGATTCCTTGGGTGTTCATTGTCGCACCTAATGTCATATCAGAACAGGTAAGTCAACGAATTCTTGATACGTTCTGATAAAAAGGAGTGACTTCAAAATCCTGCTCTTTCAGGGTACCATCTGCGAAGCTACGTACTACTGACGCATACACGTTGCTCCTCGACACACGAAGAAATATTGGTTGGATTGCATTAGCTGATGGCGTCTCCAAGCAGTCATCCCTGAACGCCATTTTCGATTTGGAAGCCCTTATGAGGGACGAAAATCGTTCCGTGGAAGAATTCAATACTTTCCTGGATCAGCTGAGAGCCCAAAAATGGAGAACCGATGGAAATAATTTGGGTTTCGATGAGTGGACCTACTCCAGGAAATAACTGAATTTATATTATATTCTAGTTTTGAGAGATGTATTATTTCGCAGGAATTGTGATTACGTTCCTACCTCACTCGTTCGTTTCTTGTCCTATGCGCTAGCTTTAAATCCTGGTAGCACATTCCTCTGTCAGAAGTGCCTATTAGCTGTATTTCAGCCCAATGTTCCGCCCATAATTGTAATGATCCTGACTTTTCGTATGTGCTGTTATATGTGTGTGTCAAATAGACTTCTAGTAAATACTGAAAAAAAAACTCAGGAAAACCGAATTACATCGCTTTGAAATTTAACATAAGGGTAAGATTCAGTGCAAATGGGCCAAAAAATAACACCATTAGCGAATGCTTCATATTCAGCATTGTGCTGTAAAAAAGGAAATTCAATTTGTACATGCTCATCTAGCAGTAGGCCGGACCAAAGATTCCTTGACGAGCGGAAATATGAGCGTGTTCGATAAAAAAAGGCAGTGGATGTCGGGTGGGTAGTAAGACTTAGGTTTAGTGTTTACATGTGTAATTGTACAAAAAACCGAAAGAATCTTGGAAAATTGAAAGGATGGAACTGCATTGTTTTCAATACAGTACAGTTCCATCCTTTGCCAGAAGGGCTTCTTTGGGGAGGATTGTCAAATAGCACAGAGACGGGAATTGTCACAAATAGGACAGGTACGAACCCATGTTTGGGAGCGAAGGAGATCTCAAGAGCAGCTAAATCTTCCTGTGGCTCATTCTCCTGAGCCTGAGCACTATATGAGATTAATTATTAC